TTTTTTTTTTTTTTTTTAGTTTTCGGTGGACACAACATCTTTTTGTTTTATTTTTTATTTGGTGCTAAGGGTGGAACCCAGCGCCCCGCACATGCCAGGCAAGCGCGCTACCACTTGAGCCACATCCCCAGCCCCAACCCTATGTCTTTTAACTGACTATTTTTCCTCTGAATACTCATTATCACTGACCTACCATGTATGTCTTTGACTCTTTTTCGAGCAGAATAGAAACTCCATTAGTACAGGACTTTGTCAGCTTTACTTACTACTACTATATATCTAATATCTAGAATAGTGTCTGTATATAATTGGAATTGCAAGGATATACAGTAGATAAAGTTGAGCAAATGAAAAAGCAGATGGAGGCAAAAAGACAAACAAAAAATAGCACTTGTTATACCAAAAAAATGTCTAATAAATAGCAGTGCCAAGACTCAAACCCAGGTCATCCTGATTCTTAGGCCCAAGTTCTTTGTTTGTAAGCTATCCTTCCACTTATCAATTTGGAGACATTGGAGGAACTATTTGTTGGGTGAAAGTACACATATATTTATATTTATGTTCACGTTTGTTTATTTATTTTATAGTCTGGTGACTGAACCCTGGTGTGCTCTACCACAGAGCTACATTCCCAGCCCTGTTAATTTTTTATTTTTGGAAAGTTCTCACTAAGTTGCTAAAGCTGGCTTCAAACTTGTGATCCTCATGTCTCAGTCTCCCAAGCAGCTGGGATTATCAGCATGCAACACCATGTCTGGCTAGAAGAGTATGTTTTACATGATGTTAAGATATCACATGTCTAAAAACCCATTTTATAGTCCTGTCCATTTGAAAGCAGATACCATATTACAAGAAAAAGCATAACAAGTGAGAGCCTCCAAAATTACTGATATTCATTTATTTTATATTGCCCAGTTATTTTCAAAATTATGCTAAATTAATTAAGTGAAAATGAGGCTCTTAAGAGACAAGAACTAGCTGCAATCTCTAAATTTCTGTGTCCACAAACTACACTTCAGAAAATATGCCAAAGGAATATTTAGGGACTTTATACCTAGAATGGAGCACAGTATCTGCTCCTGTAGGAGCCACTCTGGGAGATGACAAACAGGAACACAAATGTAACGTCCCTCTCCTTCTAACCAGGACTCAGAAAACAATTATGAGAACTTCTAAAACTTTCCAGACTAGGCTACAAAAACAAGAAATGGCAGGTCACTGACTTTATGGATACCAGATGCAAACTATAAAGTATTAATTCAACTTATTCAAACACATGGTGGAACAATCAATCGTCTAGCTTCTCTATTATGAATTCTAAGAAATTCATTGTCTCCTTCTAAATACTACCTATAAACACTTAATCAGCTTTCTATAAAAGAGGTTCCATGGACCCTTCCAAACTGATTCTATGAAGCTAGTTTCACCCTGATGCCAAAACCAAACAAAGAAACATCAAGGAAAGAAAATTTCAGACCAATATCCCTGATGAACATAGATACAAAAATTCTTAATAAAATACTGGCAAATCATATACAAAAACATATTAAAAAGATGTTGTAGGGACAAATGAGGCAAGGTACTGAAGACACCAGGAAACAGTTTTATTTGGCTGCAGCCAGGTTCAGAGGGCACAGCTTTTGCTATAATCTATCAATCCCCTGAACCCCAAATTCAGGTACTTTCAGAGTTTTATACCCAGCATGTAAGGGGAGGGGCTCAGAAGTTCACAGTCTGCAGAAGTTCACATAAAAACAGCTTTTTCTTTCACTGTTTTGGGCAAGTTAACTCTTCCAGGACAACACCTGAGAAGGGGAGAGCTTTTTCTCTCCTTTCTTTCCTCCCCCTGACAGTTGTTACCATGGAGCCCAGTTGGTAACTTATCTTAAAAATGTAGACATCTCTGTGATGCCCAGCTCAAGGCCAGAGGACTTGTTTGCACATTTTTACAAACTACTATACTGGATATTTTTGTGAAAAACTAGTAAGGGGTGTCCAGCACCTGGAGTGCTGATATCTTCTTGGTCATGGCCAAGTAAAACAGGGCGACAGAAAAATAGGAAGTTTATCTACATTGAACTCTTTTGCACAGACTATTTTGCTGACAGTCCTAAAATCAGCCATGGTGAAGATTTCTGGAGAAGCCCAGTTAACATTTTTCTATAGAGAAAGGGGGTGCCACTTCAAAGATAGTACACCATGATCAAGTGGGGTTCATCCCAGGGATGCAAGATTTGTTCAACATACAGAAATCAATAAACATAATTCATCACATCAGTAGACTTAAAGACAAGAATGACATAATTATCTCAACAGATGTGGAAAAAGCATTTGATAAAATACAGCATACAGGGCTAGGGCTGTAGTTCAGTGGCAGAGCGCTTGCCTAGCATGTGTGAGGCACTGGGTTCGATCATTAGCACCACATAAAAATAAATAAAATAAAGACATTCTATCCTTCTACAACTACAAGAAAAAAATTTTAAAAAATACAGCATCCATTCATGTTCAAAACACTATAAAAACTAGAGATACTAGGACATATCAACATTGTAAAAGCTATACATGCTAAATCCAAGGCCAACATCATTCTAAGTAGAGAAAAACTGAAAGTATTCCCTCTACAAACTGGAACAAGACAGGGATGCCCTTTTTTACCATTTTTATTCAACATAGTCCTGGAAACTCTAGCCAGAGCAATTAGTCAGAAGAAAGAAACTAAAGAGAAACGAATAGGAAAAGAAGAACTCAAACTATCCCTACTTGCTGATGACATGATGCTACATTTAGAAGACCAAAAAACCTCCACCAGAAAACTTCTAGAACTCATAAATGGATTCAGCAAAGTAGCAGGATATAAAATTAACACCCATAAATCATTTGCATTCCTATACATCAGTGATAAATCAAATGAAAGAGAAATTAAGAAAACTATCTTATTCACAATAGCCTCAAAAATAAAATAAAATACTTTGGAATCGATCTAACAAAAGAGGTGAAAGACTTCTACGATAAAAAACTACAGAACACTAAAGAAAGAAACTGAAGACAACCTTGGAAGATGTAAAGATCTCCCATTTTCTTGGATAGGCAGAATTAATATTGTCAAAATGGCCATACTATCAAAAGCACTATACAAATTTAAAGCCATTTCTATTAAGGTTCCGATGACGTTCTTCATAGAAATAGAAAAAGCAGTCGTGAAATCCATTTGTAAAAATAAAAAGCCCAGGGTAGCCAAAGAAATCCTCAGCAAGAGGAGTGAAACAGGAGGCATCACAATACCAGATCTTAAAATATACTACAGAGCTATAGTACCCAAAACAGCATAGTATTGGCACCAAAACAGACATGAAGACTAAATGGTACAGAATAGAAGACACAGGACAAACCCACATAAATACAACTATCTCATATTAGACAAAGGCGCCATAAATATGAATTGGAGAAAAGACAGCCTCTTCAACAAATGGTGCTAGGAAAACTGGAAATTCATATGTAACAAAATGAAGTTTGATCCCTATTTCTCACCATACACAAAACTCCAAGTGGATCTAGTACCTACGCATTAGACCAGAAACTGTATGCCTAAAAAAAAAAAAAAAAAACTAATTGTAGGCCCAAATCTCCATCATATCAGCTTAGGAACTGACTTCCTCAACAAGACCCCTAAAGCACAAGAAGTAAAATCGAGAATCAATAAATGGGCCAGATTCAAACTAAAAAGCTTCACAGCAAAGGAAACAATCAAGAGCATGAAGAGAGAGCCTACAGAATGGGAGGTAATCTTTGCCACCTGCACCTGAAATACAACATTAATTTCCAGGACATATGAAGAACTCAGAAAGACTTAATACCAAAAAAAAATTAATAATTGGGCAAAAGAACTAAACAGACACTTAAAAGAAAAAGAAACATGATCAGCCAACAAATATATGAAAAAAAAAGTTCAACATCTCTAGCTATTAGAGAAAATTCAAATTAAAACTACACTGAGATTTCATCTCACTCCAGTCAGAATAGCAATTATTAAGAATACAAGTAACAATAAATGTTGGGGAGGGTGTGGGGTAAAAGGTATACCGTATATTGCTGGTAGACTGCAACCACTCTGAAAAGCAGTATGGAGATTCCTCAGAAAACTTTGAATGGAACGACTATTTGACCCACTTATCACACTCCTTGGCATATACCCAAAGGACTTAAAATCAGCATTATAGTGACACAGCTACACCAATGTTTACAGTAACTCAATTTTTAATAGATAAGCTATGGAACCAATCTAAGTTCCCTTGAACAGATGAATGGATAAAGAAAATGTGGTACAAATACACAATAGAATATTATTCAGCCATAAAGAAGGATTAAATTATGGCATTTGCTGGTAATGGATGGAACTGAAGACTATCATGCTAAGTGAAATAGCCAATCCCAAAAAATCAAAGGCTGAATGCTCTCTCTGATATGCAGATGCAGATGCTGATTCATAATAGGTGGGGAGAAGTAGGAGTGGAGGTTCACTGGATTGAAAAGTGGGGAGTGGGGGGAAGGAACAGGGTATGGGAATGGGAAATAGAGTAGAATGAATTGGACATAATTTTCCTATGTTCATATATGAATACACCAGTGTAACTCCACATCATGTACAACCACAAGAATGGGAAGTTATATTCCATGTATGTATAATATGTCAAAATACATTGTGCTGTCATGTATAACTCAAAAAAACAAAAAAAAAATTTAAAAAAAAAAAATAAAAAAGAAGTTCCATGGAGTTCTGATTATGTGGGAAAGATGACCAAGCAGAAAGATCAAGTAACTAATACCCTCATTTAATGTAAGACAATTCAAGTCTAATCATAACTCCTATTTAAAAACATACCTAACTTGCTAGTGGTAATTTCTAGATTAGCGTCAGCCATGGTTTGAATATGCTTTGTCTTCTCCAAAATCCATGTTGAGATTTGATTTCCAAAATAACAGTATGGAGAAGTGGTGGAGGCACTGGCTTTTTGGCTAAGATCATGGGTAGTATTTGTTTTATCAGTTTAATATCTGATATATCCTCTATCCAAGGATAATATATTAAATAGATTTTTGGAGCAGGGAGATGGAACAGGAGCTTGCTCCATCCACTCCACGCATCAACCTGGTATCACAGTACTTCCGGGAATGGTGCACTCCCCCCACCCCGCACCCCCATACCATTTTCGGTTTGTTAAAGCAGCTTAACTTGATCTTTTTCTTTCTTTTTGTGCTTTCTTTATATATATATATATATTCCCCCCTCCCCCTTTTTTTCAGTTTGTTTGCTTTCTTACCTTGCGGAGGAGGGATTGGCAAAGTTGAATTTTATTCGGGCCCTGCATACTAAGTTCCCCACTACCTCCATGTTTTCCGTGGCTTTTTTTTTTTCTAATAAACAATGTGCTTCTTACTAACAACAACAACAAAAAGGAGTGAATAGGTTAGGCAGGATTAATGTCTTTAGTGGGACTGAATTAGTGACCTCAAAAACAGGTTGCTACAGGTAAGCTGCCCTCTCCTATTTTGCCTCTTCTGCATTTGTCCCTTTTCCTAAATTGAATGGCACAAGGACCTCAACAGAAGCTAAACAGATGCCAGTATCATGTTCTTGGACTTCCGAGCTCCAAAATCATGAACCAAAATAAACCTCTATTCTTTATAAATCATTCCAGATATTATAGCAACATAAAACACACTAAAAGCAATATTCATGTGTCCTCCCTTCCTCTGAACAAATATTTTTCTCTCTAATTTTAGAAATTAAAAAAAAAGATAGTTTGTATTGAAGAACTTAAATTTTAACAGGAGCTCCTCAAAAGAGAATTTATCTAACTGAACCCTTTAACCTCAGAATTTAGAGTAGTTCCCAGCATAGAAGAGGTATAAGTGGATATTTAATGATGATCAATTTTTAAATGTGAGTTGTTATTAAAAAGAGGAGGAAAAGATCATTTTGATCCTTCTTAATTAAACATTTTAAGGCAGTTGGAGTAGGCCTAACTTTGGATAGCATTAAAATTACCAAAAAATTCCTCTAGTTTAAAGCTAACATGACCAAAAATTCTTCCAGTACCAAATATTACTAAGGCTATCCCTTCCCTCCTCTTCCTCCCCAGAATTTCCATTCACTGGAGGCACACGTTCCTACAAGAACTAAGTGCCTCAGGCTTTAATCTATTTCACTTAATCTTAAGGAAAAAATCTCAGAGAGCTTCCAAATAGAGGGAACCAAGTGGAAAAAAAAAAACATCAGAAAGAGTAGGAAAGTGACCAAATACAAATATTTGCTGAATACAATGCTGAAAAGCTATGCCCTCTCAGTTCTAGTTGTGCCTTTACCTTGCTTAGCTTATAGAAGAGTCAGGATGCTTGGAAAACTAGAACTGAAATCCACTCTTTTCTTTTTTTAATATATTTTTGGATGTTGATAAACCTTTATTTTATTCATTTATTTATATGTAGTGCTGAGAATTGAACCCAGTGCCTCACACATGCTAGACAAGCCTACCACCGAGCCACAACTCCAGCCCCAGAAATCCACCCTTAAAACTGAATTTAAAGAAAGAAATGTGCCCCTTAAATAACAATTTATCCAAATTGAATCCATAAGTTTATAAGAATTCTAAAAACAAATTTTAAAATAAAACTAAGTAGGAAGGAACTACCACATAATATTAAGTGATCCTTCTAACAGCTTTAATAAGAAGGAAAAGGAGGGGTCATGACCTTCATGTCATACATAAGGGAACTGACCTTTGAGGAGACAAATGATTTGTTTAGATTTACAAAAGTTGTTAAATGATATAGCCAAGACTGAACCCCCCAAATTTTCTGACTTATAATTAGAGTCTCCTTATATCAAACAACAAAAAGCTTCCATAAACTAGCCAAAAAGGCTTTACAAAAATCTCAGAGAACAATTTAATCATTGGATCGAATCAACCAGATCAAATCAAAATTCTGAAATGAAATTAACAGAAAGAATTACTATGTGTTTCATACACTTAATAAAACCACATGATGCATACACAAAGTACACTTCATAAAAAAGTATGAATATCACTGTGTCTTATTCCTTAATTATATCATATGTTTCTCCTTGAGGAAAAGTTGTCTTATAAAAGCTCTCTTTTCTTAGTATTTCCCAAACTTAGCTTTTAGTAAATCATGATGGGTCTGAGTATATGGTATAAGTTATAAAATACAGGTTGTTCCTGGCCTCAACATGGAGAGCATAATTCAGTAAGTTCACATTCTGGTTTTTTGTTTGTTTGTTTGTTTGTTTTTGTAGTGTTGAAGGTTGAACCCAGGGCCTCACACAAGCTCTGTCTCAAAGCTACATTTTTAGCCTTATGTTCTGCTTTTTTAACAAGCATTCTAGATGATTCTGATAGCCAGATCTATAATATTGTTCAAACAGAATTCTTGGAGAAAAAGTAGACCAAGAAAAAATTAAAACCCATGGATATACTATTTTCCAATCTCCCCTAACCACCCTGAAGCCAGAATAAAATACAAAGGTTGGAGACCTACTTCAACCTAATATCCAAACTTAGCTGCCCAACTTGTCAGGGAGATTGGTCTCCCCCTAGGACCATGTTGTGGGACAGATTCTGATAAAAGAGTTTCAATTTTAATATCTTAACCTTCTTATCTTGAGTCTACCAAAACTCAGTAAATCCTCCCAAACAAGAATAAGATTGTGATGAAAGCTTACCCAAAATTCTGGCAAAAAATAAGAAAGAGGAGGGGATTGAAGGTGAAGAAGGATAGGAAAGAGAGGAAGCTCTGACCAGCTGGTCCATTGACTTTCCTGTCCTTGATAGAAATCAAATAAAAAACTAATTTTTTGAGTAGAATTTTTCCAAGGGATACTGAGAACAGTTCTTAAGAGGGATTCCTAAGCAGGAGATCATCATAATCACAATCATAATGGTAAAAATCATCTACTTACAAGCTGCCTCTTCTTGGAAGGCTCAACTCCTTCTGAAAAACAAAACACAGACAAGTTAGACAGAAACAGGGCCCTGAGTCCTGTAGGTCTGCCTAAATGTCCTAGGGTTGTCATAATAAAGGCAAAGACTAAATATTTCTAAACAATAACCTCTCCCTTTGTCTCTAAAAGGTCAGTGAAAACAAAAATGTCCGGATTATCTCTTTATTCTTCCTTCCTAAAAGGAATGTCTCTTAGAATACTTGCAATATTTTTCCCACTAGATGGAACCATCTCTCCAGTGTAGATTCTCTTTCCCAAGAACTGCTCATGAACTGTAAAGGATTCATATTATTAACAGCAGGGACATGAAAGAAATGAAATGGGATTGGGAGAAGGGGAAGAGTTAATTCAAAAATATTTAGACAAACAAGAATAGAAAATATATAACAAAAAGATGATTAGCACTGGCATAAAAAAAAAAAAAAACTAACTCTTACAGCTTGGGGCCCTTGTGTCTTGCTTTCCTAAAGCTCACTCACCAGTCCCCTCTTAACAACTATTATTAATTTGTTGCTTATTTTTTCCTTAACATAAGGATCAGAGTTCATACCATTTACCATATATATTCATAAATAATTATTAGTACTATTTTGCATATTTTAAAATTATATATACATGGTTTCATATTAAATGTATTTATCTGTTAACTCAGTGACATTAGTCAACACTACAAAAATTAGTAGACTTGGGCTGGAGATGTGGCTTAATGGTAGAGAAGATGCCTAGCATGCTCAAGACCCTGGGTTTAATTCCTAGCACCACCAAAAAAAATAATGGTAGATTTGCCCATGTGGCTATATTTCACCTGAGTTTCAAAGAGTTTCACCTAATCTTTACAAAGAGTCCTATCTATAAATATGCTAATATTTATTTATCCACTCTTCAATAAATGAGCATTTAATTTTCTTTCAATGTTTTTCTTCTCTATCAAAAACAATACTCTTGTACTCGTTTCCTAGTGCACACATATACAAAGTTTCCTGGAAGCATACACTTAGAGGTAGAACTGCAAAGTCCTAAAGTATCAGATATTCCAAATTGTCTCCCCAAAACCACTGTACCAATTTATACCCCCCAACACTTTACAAGTGTTTTCTTTCCCAGATCTGTCTCCCAAATTCCAAACACTTGGACAACTAATTGTCTACTCAGTATCTCAAGGCCAACAAGTCCAAAAAAGAACTGTTCTTTCCACCAAAAATGACTCCATCTCATAGCCTTTCCTCACCTCAAAAGAGACCAAAACTCTGGACAGCTGTATTTTTTTTTAATCCATCCGTCATTCTTTTTATTTTTTTTTTAAAGAGAGAGAGAGAAAGAGAGTTTTAATATTTATTTTTTAGTTTTTGGTGGACACAACATCTTTTATTTTTATTTTATGTGGTGCTAAGGATCGAACCCAGAGCCCCGCTCATGCCAGGCGAGCGCATTACTGCTTGAGCCACATCCCCAGCCCCCATCCATCATTCTTAAATGCTCTAAGTTTAAAATACATTCAGATTCCAACCATTTCTCACTATCTCCACAGACACATATCTCCATGCTCTTTAACAAAAATTCTGGATCCAGTCATGTTTCAGACATTAGAATTTTAAGGGGGTTTTATTAAAAGTTAATTGTGTGTACATATGTATGTGTGTGGGTGTGCATGTGCACATGTATATACATATATACCTAACACCCCCAACAAGGACTGGGATAGCAACAAAATAAATTACATATATTAAAATTTTTGCAGCAAGATGTATGACAGTCACAATAAATGTGATAAAACTCTAAGCACAGTTTAATTTTGCTACCAAAAGAATTCAAAGTAAAGTAAGTTTTACCACTAAAGGTGTTAAGAAAAAATACTGTTGGCTTTTGGTATTGAATCTAAGCCACCATGGTCTCTTCTCTGCCCTCTCAACAATCTCCTAACTGGTATCTCATTTCTTCTTCAGTCATTGACCCTCTATAGTTTACGCTCAACACTGAGAGTGATCCTTCTTTTTTAAAAGTGGGAATTTTAATATAATTTTATATAATAGTTACAATAACTTCTAAGGGTTCAGAACTTGATTGGTGGAGCTGAGAGAGTGTTTAAGCATATATGGTAGTCTATGTTACCCACAGTTTCATTTTTAAAATTTTTTTATTTATATATGACAACGGAATGCATTACAATTCATATTACACATATAGAGCACAAATTTTTCATAACTCTGGTTGTATACAAAGTATATTCACACCAATTCATGTCTTCATACATGTACTTTGGATAATGATGTCCATCACATTCCACCATCATTTCTAACCCCAGGCCCCCTCTCTTCCCCTCCTACCCCTCTGCCCTATCTAGAGTTCTTCTATTCCTCCCATGCTCCCCCCTCTCTACCCCACTATGAATCAGCCTCCTTATTTCAGAGAAAAACTTCGGCATTTGTTTTTCTGGGATTGGCTAACTTCACTTAGCATTATCTTCCCTAACTCCATCCATTTACCTGCAAATGCCATGATTTTATTCTCTTTTATTGCTGAGTAATATTCCATTGTGTATATATGCCACATTTCCTTTTCCCATTCATCTGTTGATAGACACCTAGGCTAGCTCCTTAACTTAGATATTGTGAACTGTACTGCTATAAACATAGATATGCATGAGTTGAAATTACTTGGTTACAGGCAAATATATGTTTATTTTTATAACAAACTACCAGGTCTGTTTCTAAAGTTCTCAGACCATGTTACATTCCCACTAACAATGCACGAGAGCCAGGTGCAATGGCACACACCTGTAATCCCAGTGGCTCTGGAGGCTGAGGCACTGAGAAACTCAGCAAGACCCTATCTCTAGATAAAATATGAAAAAGGGCTGGGGATGTGTTTCAGTAGTTAAACACCCCTGGGTTCCATCCCCAGTACCAAAAAACAAACAAACAAAAACCCAAATGCACGAGAGTTCCAATTGCTTCAAATTCTAGCTAATACCTGTTACATTCACATTAAAAATAAAAGAATGTTCAATTATTCTTCATGCCAATGAATATAGTCTTTTAGCTATCTGGTAGATGGTAACTCACTGTGGCTTTCTTTAATTTTGCATTTTTCTGATGACTGATGGTACCGAACATAAATCTTCTACTTTTCATGTGCTTACAAACTATCAGTATACATTATCCTATGAAGTACCTTAAAATTTTTTCCCTCTTTTTAATTAGATTCTTTTTATTATTTTTTCATATATGCAAGACACAAGTTCTTTGTCTCATATATTTGTGAATACTTTCTCCCAGTATGTAGTCTATCTTACTGAAGTTGTCTTCTGATAAGCAAAAGTTTTTCATTTTGATGGTCAATTTGTCTCTTTCTCTCTCCCTCTCTCTTTCTCTTTCTTTCTCTCTCTCTGGGAGTGGTGGAATACTAGGAATCGAACCTAGGGGCACTAAACCACTAAGCCATACCCAGCCCTTTTTATTTTAAGACAGTCTCACTAAATTGCTTAGGGCCTTACTAAGTTGTTGAGGCTGGCCTCAAGTTGCTGGGATTACAGGCATGTGCCACCGTGCCCTGACAATTTGTTGTTTTCAAAAAATGGTTAATGCTTTCTGTATAGTATCTAAGAAACTCTATCCACTCCAATGTGACAAAAATATTTTCCAACATTTTATTTCTACAGGGTTTATGGTTTTAGATTTGATTGTCTATGACCTATTTTGAATTAATTTTGAAATAATATGTAGGTGAGCTTAAGGTTCGTTTCTTGTTTGTTTGTTTGTTTGTTTCCATAAAGGCAATCTCTTAATTCAGCACCATTTATTGAAAGTGCTACACTTTCCCTAACAAACTGCTATAGTGCTTTTTTTGAAAATCAAACTATAACAAAATGGTACTTCTGATTCTGTGGCTTTATATTAAGTCTTGAAGTCAAGCTGTGTAGCTCCTTAAATTGTACTTTCTCAAGAGTGCTGAGAATATTCTAGATTCTTTGCATTTGCACATAAATTTTAGAATCAGATCATTAATTTCTACAAGAAAGCCTGCTGTAATATCTCAAAACCATGAACACAGTATTCTCTACTTAGCTCTTCTTTAATGTTTTACAGTTTTTGTGGTTTTTTAAATTTTTAAAAAAATATTTATTTTGTAGTTATAGTTGGACACAATACCTTTATTTTACTTATTTATTTTTATGTGGTGCTGAGGGTCGAACCCCGAGCCTCACATGTGCTAGGTGAGTGGTCTACCACTGAGCCACAACCCCAGCCCTTAAATTTTTTTCTTTTAATGTTTTTTTTTTCAGTTGTTAATAGACCTTTATTTTATGTGCAGGACTGAGAATCAAACCCAGGGCTTCACATGTGCTAGGCAAGTACTCTACCACTGAGCCAAAACCCCAGCCCTGTTTTACAGTTTTTATAAAAGATCTTACACTTTTTAAAACTTATTCCTAAGGACACATTTTTAAAACTATTACAGATTTTAAAAATGTATTTTATTTTCCAATTGTTTGCATGTAGTATACAAATGCTATCAATTTTTATATATTGACAAATGTATTGTTACTTTGTTGAATTCACCATTATATTAATCATAATAACTTTGGTACATTCCTTAGGACTTTTCTATATAAACAATCATTAGGAAGCATTCTACTTCTTTCCATATTCTAGGATTGCCTATAAAATGTTGAATGAAAGTGGTAGACATCCTTGCTTGGTTTCTCATCTGATTTCAGAGGGAAAAAATTCAATATTTTACCACTAAATATTGTATTAGTAGTAGTTTTTTCATAAATAACTTTTATCAGATTGCTAAAGTTCTTTTCTGTTCCCAGTTTGCTTCAAATCTTATCCCTCCCCTACCCCCATGCTAGGAATGGAACCCAGGGCCTCACACATGTAAGACCAGCAGTTTACCACTGAGCTGTTTTGTCAAGTGCTTTCTCTGCATCTACTGAAATGCTCCTATAGTTTTTCTCTTCTGTTAATATGGAGAATTACAGTGATTA